GTGACTCGCGACCGCTTGGGCGTGGCCCTGTCTGGCCGGATTTGGCAAAATTTTTGAATGGAGGAGCTGGATTTGGCTAAAACAGGTGGGGCTGAGTTGACCCGAACCCGAAGCGGGTCGGGTTCGGGTCAAGAAAAATGACTCGTTTGCAAAAACGGGTCGAGTTAGGGTTGACCGATTAATGCCGGGTAAGTTCCGGGTTCGACCGGAACCCGACCCGTGACCCGAAATTGACACCCCTAAGTAGTGGAATCAATCCTGTTTTCTTACATCAATTGGTTGATCAATTGCAACAACATTAATTAAGCACCCTTTATTATGATTGCAAACTAACCAAATCAAGTTGACCTAGACTCGTTTGGAGCTAAGTAGCTTTGAACGAGCTGCTTCTTTAGTATAAAAGATACAATTAAAATAAATTAATAGAAATTTAAGAAATTATTATTTTAATATGAGCATTAAATATATGTAACAAACTATCTAGAAAGCATCAAACCAAGCCTTTTTCACTTGCCCTTATAGCCCCCATATGGGTTGCCAACACTTGCACTAAAAATCAAAAGTCATTTATAAAAATTACTAATATTAAGGTTTTATTTGGGATGATTTTTTTATTACTTTTTAAAGTAATTTTTTTTACAAAAAAGCTCTTTTTTTTACTAGAAAATTATTTTAAGAAGCAGCAAAAAAGATATAGATAACTTAGAATTCTCAAATTCCTAATACATGTATCATATATTTTTAAATAGATTTTTAAATAGTTTTTTATCATTTGAATAATACTAATTTTTTAGTTAAAAATATTTATTTTTTTTTTCTATTTATTAATTTATATATATATAATTTTAATATTTATTAAATCATCCAAGACAATCTTACTTGAGTCATTGAACATTCAACGTATTATTTTCATCAATAAATACTGCTCCAAATAAAATCTTACAGTCTAATCGATAAGAATCACCGGTCAACCCTTATTATTCTCATCAAACATAAAATTTTGTCAACGCTTATTTAATCCTGTTAAAGAAAAAACCCATCAAACGCTGCCCTTTACTGCGTTGCTATACCCATTAAGCAAATCATAGTACCTGCTCCATAGCATTATCCCCCCATACTTAGCCGACGTCCTCACCGCCGGCAACACCTTCGACTCCAAGTCGCTCGGCGCGATATACCCTCCGCTCGGCGCAGCATCCTGAGACGCCGGCAACCCCACGAAGAACACCGACGCGTCCACACTCGCCGTCCACTCTTCCCATGCTTTAACCAGCTTATCCGCACTCCCATTCGCGTACTGACACGGCGGATTATTATAAAACTGGATCCAAACAAAGTCGAACAGCCCTGTAGCCAACGCCTTGTTCAAATGTGCGTCAGGGTAGGGGCATTGCGGCGCCGCCGAAAGGTACAATTTTTTCCCTGCTTGATTTCCGTAGTCAGCGAGGGTCTGCGCGAGCACGTCGTAGTAGTCGGCGCCGCCAGCCTCGATGTCGAAGTCAATGCCGTCGAGAACGGCGGAGCCGAGCGGGCGGGCAGAGGAAGTGCCGCCGTGGTAATTGTTCCATAGATAGGCGGCGACGTTTTTGGCGTCGTCGGCGGAGGAGAGGGAGTAACCGCTGGAGTCTCCGCCGAGGGAGAGGAGGACTTTGATTCCGAGGGATTGGCATGAGAGGATGTCGGAGGAGAGGGATGTGCAAGTGCCGGACGGAGGGTCGCAATGGCCGGCGAGGTTGAGAACGGGGGTTTGGTTGCGGCCGAAGACGGTTAGGAAGGAGAGGATGACGAAGCCGTAGTTCTTTGTAGCGCAGGCGTCGGAGAGAGTCCCCTCATTGCCGTTCTGACCCCAGTAGACGGCGATTGTGCCTGCGTTGGCTTGGAGAGAGGTCAGGAGGAGGAATGTGAGGAGGGTAAGAGGGGAGAAAGAAGGTGAAGCCATGGTTGTGATCGAGTTGGGAAGTTTTGAAGCGGGGGTGAGGTTTTTATAGAGGATGGATAGTCAGCTGTTCCGTCTATTTTTGCGTGGAAGGGATGGAAGCAGGGTGGGAATGGAGGAGGAAGACTTTTGGGAAGAGAATTGGTCAGTCAACTTATGGCGGATGGAGGATAGTCAACGTGAACGTGTAATTGATTTTTTTTATCAAAACGTCTATTTTGACTTTTCTATATGAAATTTATTCATGTGAAACTTAAGTCCTTTTGATAGTTGGAAATGATTTTCCTTATTTTCTTAATTTATTATGATCAACAAAAATATGTAATTTCAACCATTTAAAATAGATTATAAAACAATAATTTATAAACTTTATAAAATAGATTGGATAATGTCAATGAATAAGACTTACGTTTGAGACAACTTTCTTATTGCTTCTTAAAGAAAAATTTTTTAGTAAAAAAAGAAGCTATTTTAAAAGGCAGCAATAAAGCCATCCCAAATGAAACTTAAGTTATATCCAATACTTGAGAAAAAAGGTGTACGTAGACCAAAAAAATGATTCATAAGTTCTTATTAATGAAGTGATTTAGACATATTCTTCTTTCTAGATGGTGATAGGTCATGGTATCCATAGCGTTGCATCTTTTTCGGCCAAATCCTGATTTCGTTTTGCTTCTCCCGGTCGTCGAACCTGATCAACTCGACTCTTTTCCCTGCCCCCCGGCCTCTCACTTCGTTTCGTTCTTCCTCTGTACCGTCGCTTGAATGAAGACACCATTTTACTGATGCAAGTATCCAAATCATTCTATTACATGCCAATCTCAGAGACTCGAGGGGACTCAGGCTATTCATGTTCTTCGTGCAACAGGTTCCAAACTATTGCAAGTAGCGTTAATCAAATTGACTTTTTTTTCTCGTTCTATCTCAGAGCATTCATTCGATATTCATCTGCTTCGATTTCCACTTTCCGTAATCTAACCCGAGCTCTTTCGAGCTATTCAATGGCTAATTCTTCTGAATTTCGAATAGTACTCAAGATCCTATGTGCTTATCTAATAAATCATTGGTTTTTTTTTATACGGTGGCGCCATGAATAGCATTGAAATTATCAAATATTGAGGAGTTGGTATTACCTTATGTCTAATTACTCCACTTATAGTTGTGAGAATCTTATTTTTTAAACAAAGAAGAGTCCATCCTAATTGATCATATAATAGATCTACTACATAATGAATAATTAAGTTTATTGAACTTTTAACCAATAGGCTAAAATGAGCTCCATGACTAAAGATTTGATAAGCATTTGAGTTTAAAAACTAATGCTAATACCTACTAATATTTAAAAATTAAAGCTTATGGGAAAATAATGGAAGTGATCAAATAATGTTTTATAATTAATCTTGCTCAACTAATTGCGATAATGTCGCTTTTAGATTTTTAATAGATTGACATTGACCATCATTAATTAACATCACATTTATAATCGAGCATTATCACTTTTGTGTTAATTTTTAAATCATATATGACTTAATTAGATTACAATTAAAACTAATTAACTTCCTTAATCAATTTTCTCCTATCAGATTTTGTTTAGATTAAATGCAAATAGAAGAAATTAAATGAAATCTAAATAATTAATGAGTGAAATATGAAATCATAATCATTGATTTATATTTTATTTATTTATTCACAGAATTCTTTAGCCTTCAAATATAACACTAATTATACTTTTTTACAGAGTTAGGTGAAAAAAAATATTAATGATCAAATTTATTTTTTTAATCCAAATTTCAAATGAAGAAATTCAACTAATTCTAAATATTTAATCTCAGCATTAAAAAATAGCTGCCACCACTAAGTTTATTGGCATAAAAAATAACAAAGAATTTTATTATTTTGATCAAGAATGAATAAATAATTATATTATTATATTGCTTCGTTGCGTACGTGAAAGAGACAGAACTGAGCCAGAAAGTAAGTTTTAGTTTTTTACAATTAAAAAAATAGAATTCCCTAAACAAAAGAGATTTCATAATGAACATCTTACAAAATGAAAAAATAAGCTATCTGAAAAGTCTTAGAAAGGAAAAATCTGTTATTTCCTATTCAACTCCTTTCAAAATTAAACACACGTTAAGTTGGCCCCACAGCAGCAACTGCTTTAAAAAAAAATAAAGATGGAGTGCCATAGCTCAATATATTAAACAAAAAGATTAAAAGCTAAAAAATATAATTAACAACGTAGCTTAAAAAAAAGTAGAAAACGATGAAGATCTTAATCAACCAATCGAGAGATTAATGTTTTGTTTGGGACAGCTTTAAATCATTACTTATTTTTTAATTTTCTAAGATTTTTATACTAAAAAGTTGTTTCATAAAACAGTAAGAAAGTCGTGTCAAACGAATTTTCTTACTATTTTCTAAACCAACATTTTAGTACAGAAATTTTTTTAACTAAAATTTTATTACTAGAAAGCTGCTTTCATAAAGCAGTAAGAAAGTCGTGTCAAACGAATTCTCATATTGAATAAATATATATCATGAATTTGACAATAAAATGCTCTAAGAGATCAAAGAATTTTGACCTGGTGAGAGAGAAACTCATCAGGAAGGAGATTGTGGATGTAAAATACAACAATATGAGCTTTAAATTTTAAAATTTTAGATTGATGTTACTACAATTCAATAAGTTATATATAACAGTACTAATCTCATCATAAATCTAAAAACTTTAGAACTTGTGATGATAAAAAATGTATCAGGATAATCCTATAGTTTTAGAAGCTGAAGCGAACCTTTGAGAGACCAAGTTTTATTGATAGCTCCCAGCAAAGCTTCATAATACGGTCTTCGGCCAATGGAGTAGCCGACGAGGCAAAGATTCCAATCATCACCACCCTTAGCAAGCTTCTCACTCGAAAAAGGGATGATGTCCGGCTCGGAAGGATGATGCGAAAAGTTGAAAACTTTAGGAGCAGATGATGGCTCGGGAGCAAAAATTTGACTCCAGTTGCGCAAAGGGACCGGTGCAGTAGCAGCAGAGGAGGAGAGAGGAGGAAAACCAGAGGAGAGAAGTGTAGACTCCATGCAGGAAAGCCTCCGGCCAAGCCGGAGGGGCGGCGGAGGAGGAGAAGCTCAGCAGGGGAAAAAGGAAAAACGAAACCCTAGCGGAGCACTTTTATTATCCCAATTCAACCGTCCATAATGAACATCTTACAATATGAAAAAATAAGCTATCTGAAAAGTCTTAGAAAGGAAAAATCTGTTATTTCCTATTCAACTCCTTTCAAAACACACGTTAAGTTGGCCCCACAGCAGCAACTGCTTTAAAAAAAATAAAGATTGAGTGCCATAGCTCAATATATATATTAAACAAAAAAATTAAAAGCTAAAAAATATAATTAACGACGCAGCTTAAAAAAAAAAGTAGAAAACGATGAAGATCTTAATCAACCAATCGAGAGATTAATGCTTCATTTGGGACAACTTTAAATCATTACTTATTTTTTAATTTTTTAAGATTTTTATACTAAAAAGTTATTTCATAAAGCAGTAAGAAAGTCGTGTTAAATGAATTTTCTTATTATTTTTAAAAGCAACTTTTTAGTACATAAATTTTTATAACTAAAAATTTATTACTAGAAAGCTGCTTTCGAAAATAGTAAAAAGATTTATCCCAAAATAAATTTCTTACTACTTTCTATCACAGATTTTTAACAAAAAATATTTTTAAAAGCGTTTAAGAAATAGTGTTCAAAACCCAATTGAAGTTTTAAGAGCTGCAAAAGACTCATATTGAATAAATATATATCATGAATTTGACAATAAAATGCTCCAAGAAATCAAAGAATTTTGACCTGGTGAGAGAGAAACTCATCAGGAAGGAGATTATGGATGTAAAATACAACTTGATGAGCTTTAAATTTTAAAATTTTAGATTGATATTACTACAATTCAAAAAAATTATATATAACAGTACTAATCTCATCATAAATCTAAAAACTTTAGAACTTGTGATGATAAAAATTGTATCAGGATAATCCTATAGTTTTTCTTTTTAACCGTGTGGTAACTCCCCTGGACCAGAAACGTAAGCCAAAGTTTCCATAAGGTTTGGCTTCAGCAAGAAGGCGGCCATGAAATGACCAAGTTATATGTTACTGGCAGTCAAAAGCAATAAAAAACAAATAGATTCTTACTCCCAAGTTACTAAGGTTTCATTTCATTGGAAGTTTATTGTGATTATTCTGTTTTAAAACGACAAATTTTTTTCTTGTTTAATATTTGGTTCGTCAAATCTCGTTTCCAATAACTTCTTTTTTTTTCATTTTTCTACTGTTTTGAGAAAGCTTTTTATATATGATTCTCCGTTAGAAAATCCCATTTTTTAACTATTAATATATTATTCGTTTTGACCTAAGAGCCTCATGATTTTGTCTTGTTGGTGTAACTACCCGGTAGGTTGCTCATCCCAAAATTACTCCGATATGAGCACGTTTAACTGTACAGTTTCTTAATGAAATTCCAACCATTACACACCAAGAGATACCTCGAAGTTTAAAAATTTAAATTCTTTTGCTTAAAGTGATTTCACAATTACGTTCCAATAGAAATAGCCATGTCACCTTTTTTTTCCCCTTCTAGAAAAAAGAGGCCCGAGAGGAAAAAATAGTGAAATTTGACAGAAAAATAATAGAGAAAAATCTTCTCTGAACAAGTCTCTTACTGCAGCGTTATTTGACTATGTGTGCATGGCTGCAGCTTTGAAGAAATCCGGCGTGCCCGTATAGGAGTGCGGAGCTAGCTAGCGTGGAAAGTGGAGAAGTTGAGTGATGCCTGGAGGCAGTCGACGCATATGTGAAGGCGTCGGCGATCTTCCTGAGTAGGCCATAAGTTTACACTGCTTGAAGATGGATTCCAGCTTGTTCTGACTTTTGACAAAAATTTAGAGCTTAATTAGAATTAGAATATTTGACATTTGCTTTAGTCGCCTGTAAGATACTTTCA